TTGACCAATCAGGAGGGCTGTGTGGAAGCGGCTACATCAAATGGTTTACTATGTCGGAACGAGGGTGTGTCAATTTGCAAACTGAAACATTCGCTTGGCAGGAGTAGTTGCGTCAGCGTCCCTAACCTGTCAGGAATCCATTTACCAAGTTAGTCTAAAAACAACATCTACATTTACTGCGTGTAGCTATCAGCAAAAAACCAATAAATATCGATTTCACAGTTAGTCAGCACATCGCCTTTCGGTGATGTTTCGTGTGCACTAAAGAGTGCAAGATTATGAAACTTGTGTTATTTTTTTTAAAATTGATCCAGAAACAAACCGCTCACATCGAAAAATTGTTTGATTTGTTTAAATCGCCAACTGTGAGCGGCATTTGAAGGCCCGGTTTTCGAACTTCATTCAACTAACTGCATCTGCCTAAGAGACAACGATTCATTAAACTGGGAAGCAGAATTGACGGTTTACGTCAGTAAAAGAATTGAACTAGCTTAAATTTGACGCCGCGATCAAGGGGTCAACTCAAGGTCGTGTCATCTTCCGAAGAAGCGAATCTTACTTCCACATATAAGAAAAAGGCATTTTGTATCAGTCGGGTTTTATCGTATCAGGAAAACAACGGCCGGTGAACGCTTTCTCGTGTGACCATATCTTCGAGATGACGCTGCCTTCACCTTGCTGATAAATGGGCGACCTGGAGGAAATAAATTATGCAGCAACTAGTGGACTTGAGGGGCATGACCGCATTCGTGGACGCGAAGAGCTGAAGGGTGGGCGGGGGGGTGGGGGGTTTGGGGAGGTTGGCTCCTCACCCCTATCAGCGCCGTCAACACACCCAGTTGGACCGGTGTCGCCTCGCCTCCGTCTGTTCACACCTGCTCACTTTGAGCCCACAGGACTCGTCTTACGCCAACTTTAACACCTGTTCACAGCTGAGTTATGAACCCGCGTTGATGATGCAAACAAAAAATCGCTCAAAAGATGCGCCTTTCTGTGCAGACTTCGCCATCACATCATCAGTCTTCGCGTTGTTGACGATCGATACGCTCTAACGTCACACAAACGTCATTGATTGGTCGAGAGTTAATTAGGCTGTTTGAGTTCAGTTCAAGCTGGCATTATCGATTTTATGTGTGAAAATTGTTCCGCTTCACAGTTAGGCACAATTCCGTGTGTAATGGTTGAACAAAAGCGAGCACTTTTGTTACATGGGCTGACTCTATTTGCGTTAATTTTTTTTAAAAAACCCGGCACAGTCCACGGAGAATTTTTGGGTGACGAATACATCTACGAGTGACAAATTGAAAAGAAAAATGGAAAACTTTTACTCAAAGCCGGAGTAAACAGAACAGTTTTGTTTTCGCGGCTTTCATGAATTTTTAATATCGCATCAGCAGGGCTAGACTACGCTGAAGCTGTAAATAGTCGTGAAGGATCAAGGCCAATGTTGAGTAGTACATCACAACAGCGGTAAGTTTTAGCAATTTCTGACACGTTGAATCGTTCTTTGTAAACCTCGCTTCATTTTTTTTTCTGATGTGCAAAAAATCCATTCCCACGGTCGCTTAGAGATGACGCCTCATTTGCAATTACTTGTCATGCGTGTTGCATCGTATTTCAATTTCACACAACACGTGTCCTTTGTGTTTCTTTCTTTCTTGACTAAATGCAAAAATAAGATGTGACTTTGGTTGCCGTCGCTTGCAAAGGCTCCCATTAGTGGTAGAGTTTGACCTTGACATTGACCAATGATGACGAGAATGACGAAAAGACACGTGCGCATAGAATTTTACCGCGGAAACTCAACCAGAACCTTGGAATTATTTGGGCTAAATAACAATCCCGCGTGTTTCAAGACAGTGACTTAATCCTTGTGGCAATTTCAGCCAAAACTGTGGTTTCCTGGGAAGGATTCGAAGTCGTTAAAAGAAAATCGTCGGGTAACCAAATCACTGTTCTACTGTGTTTTCTAGAAGGAATTGATTATTTTTAGTTTGTCAACATTGGCATACATTGCGCTTTTAACAGGCTAGTTTCTGAAATGGGCTAAAATGGAATCTCTGCATATGATTGTCGGAGTCAACCAATCCCACACTTGATCAATGTGCAACTAATTAAGACTTTTAGTCGGTTGACTTGTGAACGATGTTGAGGGATACGTGTTACCAGTCTTTGCTTGACACTCAACTTCGTGTATCATCGAGTGTGACCCGCTACAGTTAGAATTAGCCAATTGGAAATAACCTATCTCACCTTGACTTCAGACGTCTGTTCAATCAGAGCTGCCAATCTCACCCAAAATGATCCAATCAGAACCGACCTCTTTGAATCAGCTCAAGGCCAGGCCAGTTCTGACACCCTTTTATTTAAATGTGTCATAACTTGGCTGGACTAGAGATTTGTGTAAGTCGTTCAAGACTGTTACAGCCAGGGCAGACAGTCAATTGGTATAGCGTGTCTCCAGTGAGTTGTCTAGGCAGAATGCTCTGTCTAGCTCAGAGATTCTTATTTTTAACAGTTTAAAGTCAGATTTAAGAAAGATTAACTGCTACAACTAGGCAACTTCGAAAACAGGGATTGGTAAAAATTTCAAATCTGACCTGATTATCTCGAATCGGGTAACAGGAAATGATGAAGTAAGTTGAAACAAGATAGTTTAAAAGTCTTTTCAAGAAGCTTGATAGATTTAGGTGTAGTATCGTAGAATCGATTATTCTAAATCGATAATTTTCGAGATTTGGAAAAGGAAATCGATGAAAGAGGAGTTGCAGACAACTAGACATGTCGACAAATTCAGCGGAAGTTCAACAGCAAAGCGGAAAATAAAAAAACGCTTAGATGTTAATTAACGAAAGATCTGACACGTCATTTGTTTTGATGGCTTCACCACCCGCACCACCACCACCACAGTCAGCTGGAGGCGAATCAATAACGATTGATTTCCCAACCGCATTTGACTTGGGGTACACGTTGGAGTACGAATCGTACGAGGATCGATAAAAACATAAAAACGACGTTCGAGTAACAATCCGAGATGTCACGAAAGGTTGCGGTGGTTTAATGTGTCTGGCGTCGATAAAATCTCATCGACATTTTCGATCATCTACGCACGTGGAATATGGATGCAGGACTACAATTTCGATTAAAGAGTCGTGCTGGGAGCTAGAAAAGGCACATTCTAGTTAATATCCAATTTGTCGTGTATACACGCGACACTTTGAATGCAACCTACCGCCCATAGTTGAGTTAATGTGGGCCAATAGCACACCTATCTGGATAAGTTAGTCCCCTGAGCTGATAATCGACGTGTCCTCATGTTAACTGCACACTTAGGTGAAGAAGTGGTTTCATGGACTGCGCACTGATGACCTCAAACGGTCGGCGCGTCGAAACACGCACCCCACTGGATCCCGGGCACATTTCATGAAAGGGGAATAGTCCAGGCCATTCTCCATCTTTTCTCGACGAACAGGATTTGTTGGCAAAAACCAGTCGACACACCCAAGCGCAATACCAGGACTACTACAAGTCGAAATCCATTGATAGTAATGAGAATTGGCGAATCGATCCATCTGGCTAAGAAAAATCAATAAATGATGTCATTAAATGCAAAGGAGGCGGCATTATCCTTTCAAGGAAGTTGAAGCATTGGACGAGATTCTTCAACCATGAAGCTGGACGACGGTGGGTGAAGCAGGATGTCTCAGTTCCAATCATCGATTTTGGTCTAGAGTGATTCTCTACGGTGAAATGGTTCTATCGTACTAGAGAATGACACCATGCCACAATAATAGGTCATCCAAGCTGGGCCAGGCCATTCTCCATCTTTTCTCAACGAACAGGAATTGGTGACGAAAACCAGTCGACATCTGGTTTGGAGTTGGAAGGGTTCAGCCAGTGCACACACACACACGTGCAATACCATGACTACTACAAGTCAAAATCCATTGATAGTCATGAGAATTGGCAAATCGATCCATCTGGCTAAGAAAAATCAATAAATGGTGCCTCTGGTGTA